TAGCCTTACTATAGTCTTACTATCACAAAAAAAGTTAGAAATGCCTTAAAATATAAGTTTATGTCCCAAAGTAGACTGACTAAAAAAATAGGGTTGGGCTAAACAATTTATAAAAAATATGTGAATATGAGAAACATGCACAAAATGTGCATGGTAAAAAATTATGATGAAAATTGTTGGAAAAAAAAAACTTTTTCTTTTCTGCATTTTTCTCATCAAAATACAGCATTTTGGGATTTTTTTACAAATTTTTTTTTTGTAAATGTTTTGACAAAATTCTAGTTTCGCATTACATGTTCGTCAGAAGGAAAAAGATCTATGAAAGTTTTTGAAAAATTCCTATTGTTCATTTGATTAGATGGTAAAAAATGACGACGAAAATCTTTGGGAAAAAAAAAATCAACATATACTTTTCTGCAGGTTTATCATCAAATTAAAGAATTTTGAGATTTTTTTCTAAAATCTTAAGCATGAATATGGGCTTATCCACATATTTTAAGGCAAGTGAGATATACAACAACATTTATACTAGAAATAAAACCAAAAACAGTGTTGACTTTTTAAAAGTACATTTTTGTTAAACAAAAATGTTTTAGCAATTATATGTCAAATTATTTGATATTTCAAATTAATATCTATTAATGTGAGGTGAATTACTTATTGATATATTAATAACTGCCTCTAGCACTGAAATACTTTGCATCAGAATTTAATACAAAATTAAAAAATAATAAAATAATTAATAAATACAGTGGACACCCAAGATATGAGTCTAATCCGTTCCACAGCAGCATTTGTATCTCGATCGAATTTTCCCCATTAAAAAATAAATAAAAAAGAATTAAATAGTTCCAGCCCCACAGAAACATACTATTAATTAATTAATTATATAAAACGTAGATATAAACAAATATATTTGTGTCGGGGCCACTAAGGTAGGAGAAGGATTTCTTTTTTAATAAACACTAAAAGTTGGTGACCAACTCAGCAGCTGCTTTGGCATCAGAGCTCGCGGCTTCCCCATGTCGTACGACTGAATGGACGGCAGCCCTAGGTTGAGCCACTGGTAACTAGATATTTCCTTGTATCAGGAGAAAAATCTTGCAATAGTTGCAGACTTGTAACATATAATAGTCGTGTTTCGGGAAGCTCGTATCTCGGGGTTCCAGTATATTAAGAACATTTAAAAACAAATACATAGTGAAAAAGTGCATTCCAAGTTACAAAAATATATAAATAATGCACTATAATAATATAATATAAAAATATAATAATGATACGTTACTTTCAAACATTTCTATGTAAAAAAACAATCTGGTAAAGTTTATTCCTCACCAATACAAAAAATAAAATACATACATGAAATAAAAATAAAATTATGGACAACTGACATAAGTTAGTGCTGTTCCCAACTTCTTCATGTTCATATTTCCATGGATTATGTGTAACATACTGTGTATTGGCTAAAATTCTGTGGATACGATGTTGGTATCAAGTCATGTCAAAGTTTTCCCAATTATACCGATGCTCCTTGAACGCAGCACTCACGTGAAGGTCCTTCAGGTCTCTTGTCTTGGAGTGGAACCCACACTGCGGTGCTGACAAAAAAAAAAAAACAGTTTCCTCAGTCTCCTAAAACACTGTACAGTATTTATTATCAGGGAAATTCATGATGATATCTGACTTACCGGAATGACATCATCATTTCCTGATATCAGGAAGATTAATATATGCCTTTAAAAAAACAAGTCTGAAAAAAAAACATCATTAAAGTCAGAATTTCACAAAGAAGCAAAAAATAGAAGTGCATTTCTGTAAAGAAAAAGTCTTAACAGCTGAATTTTGTAACATTCTCAGCAAAATTCCAGCTGGTATAGTTTAAGTCTTGTTGCTGTTTGTTGTTGTGCTTTAACTCCTTCTCCTCTTCCCCTTTCAGATGTCATCATCATCATCATCATCATCATCACCCCTCCACCCCCTAGAATTCCAGAATTCATTCATCCAGGCTCCGACCATACAGGAACCATGACACAGGTGCAGCTAGCCTGTCTCTGAGGAGAACCACACCTCAGACTCCCGGACCATCAGCACCGGCTCTCTGCAGGGCTGTACCTCGAGCCATCAGAACGTCAAGCTCCTAAAGTTTGCGGATGATACCACCCTCATTAGACTCATCTCTGAAGGGGATGAGTCATCGTGCAGATGGGAGATGGACCACCTGGTGTAGACGAGCTCGATGCCCCAAAAACAGTGGAGATGATAGTGGACTTCAGGACGAGCCCAGCCCCATCACCCTGGATGATTCTCCTCTGGATACTGTGGAGCACTTCTGCTTCCTGGGAACCATCATCGGCAGCTAAAGTTGAGAGCAGTTGTCGCCCTATCATGTTAAAGTGTGAGTTGGTTATAGAGGACACGTTAAAACACCCTGTTCTGTTGTCCCCAGTCTGGCTGATAATAAAGACTTCCAGAAACTTCCCTGTTTCTGTCTCTGTTTACCTCTGCTGCGGACAAGCACAAAGTGAAGGGAGTTAGCCCCGGAGCTAATGTTAGCTTAAGCCGTGGAGCGATCACCAACCATTTAGTGGGTGGGGCTTATATTCAGGTGCACTTAATAGTCTGGAATTTACAGTATTCATTATAACTGGTCTGGTTCACCTACCTTAGGGGCTACAGTGATGCAGTGGTCAGACTACTCCCTGTCATCTAGAAGGTTCAAGGTTTGATTCCACCTAGAATAAGCATTTGGTGTAAAAAAAAAAAAAAGAAACAGAAATTTAGGGATTTCATATAATTTCAATAAAAATATTCTCTTGATTTTCAGTTGCTTTTTATACCAACCCTCATGAGGTTTTTCATTCAACTTAAACCTGTTGTTTTGACAACAGTAAATGCAGGACTGGTCATTCCGAGGACCTGCTCAGCGTCAGGACTCCGTGCCGACACCGCCTCCTCCCTGAGGTGTGTGTTTCATCTGGACGACATGTGTGAAGCAGAGAAAGGCAGCGCTGTGTCTCTGAGGTGGACTCCACCACAGCCCACCTCAGAGACACAGGTGTTTCTGCTCAGGTGGCAGTTGGTGAAGGTCAGCCGTGAACACACACACACACACACACACACACATTACTCAGCTCCTCAGTTCACTGCTCCCAAAAATAACAGCTGTGACCAGGGAGGGGCGGGGCCTCCTCGTCCTCCTGCTCCTCTCCTTTCATATTCAGTTTTCTTTAATGCTCAATAAACATTGACCGTATTTTGGTTCTGCAGAATTCCTTAGTGAAGCCCCGGACTTTGACAGAGCAGAGCAGGATTTTTAAATCTTTTTGTCCAACAAGCCAAACGATGTGGTTTCATCTACAGTCATTATTCACCAAACATCTTTGATATAACACACAGGATCTTTCTGAGCAAACTTTACTTCTGGACCAAATTCATTTCCCTGCTTCACACAAAGGGACTTCAGTGGTCCACACTGGCATCTACTGACATCTGGTCCTCACAAATCTGGGCCACAAGGGTCTGGCTGACCTATGGCCCACATCCAGGATAATAAAAAAACCCAAATGTGAACCACATTAGTCTTTGCCATAGATAGACTGGACCTTATGTTGTTTCCCAAAGGTCGACCTGTTCCTTTAAAGTCCGTTTCCCAAACAGCCGTGACATGAAACAGAAGTCAATGAGGAACAAGACGCTGCCTGTTCTGAAACCAGTGATTATGTCATGGCTTATTATAGACCAGCCTGTGTCAGCAGGAGCTATTTTTAGTCCCTGGACTGTTGGTGTGGAGGGTGTGTGTTTGTGTTTGTGTTTGTGTTCAGCTGAGGCGGAGGTGGGGGAGTGTGTGGTCGGGCTGCTCCACACAACCTGCTGAGTAACGATGATAAAGATAGATCTGACCTATCAGGTGCCATCAACGGCTCCTTGTCGACCCGTGTCACACACACTGACACACACGCGTGTTCAATGCAGGTCATTGTGCTGCAGGGTGGGGCCGTGCACTCCTACACCAACACACAAGCAGGAAACACAGAGCACAGAGCACAGACCTGACCAAGTGAAAATGTGTTTGTTCAGTCAAAACTCCAATTAAAGCTGCTTGGAAGACAACACTGAGTGGGCTGGAAAAACCCCTGCTGTGGGTTGGGGTCAAGACTCCCAAACTAATGGAGAGATGGAGTTTGGGGCTGAGGGTGGACTCCTGTGTTTTAGCACAAAAATATTTTAAATATATAAATATAAAAAAAATGAATAAAGTAAAACCAACCAAAACGTCTGAAGCCCTTTCAGTACCATGAGGGTTCCCAGATGAGGACGCTGTTCCTACTGTTACAGTGGACAACACACTGGTCAGGCCCAGTTATGGGCCACACAACCTCTTACATCTGGTGTCCTAACTGTGGAGAGACTACAACTGATTAATTCCTGGATTCCATAAAAGTGACGAGAGTGAGCGGACGGACGGAACTCTGTGTCCGTGGTTGGACATTTCTTTCAGAAAGTCCATTTGGAGCGTTGGTGTTAAACCTTGATCCAAAGTCATTCACTAACATTTCTTTCTACTGTTCGTTTCAGATGGAAGGGTTCTGAACTCAAGCACTTCACTCTCCATGATCCAGCTGTCATTGTCTTGAGCGGCTGAGCTCTAATCAAAGCCAGGTGTCAGCTGGGTCTGTCACACATTCATCGACAGTGAACTCCTCCCTCTGAAGCGTCCGCAGCTCTGAGCGTCTCCACGTCTTGATCCTCGGCTGCTGCTTTAATCAACACTAAAATAACAGAGCTGACACTCAGGGCCATGTCCTCCATCTCTACATGACTCAACCTGCTGCTTCATTACTGCCAAGGTCGACTCACTCTTTATATGCATGATTTTACTGCACGAGCCGACACACGCGCCTTCACCTCTGCAGCGTAAGCGACGATCAAGGCCGCGAAAACGTCACAGGGTTTGTTTTTCTTTGACTCTATGTTTGGGATCATTTTTATTTGTTAGACAGTGACAGATTATGACTGAAAGTCACCGGAGCAACAATATGATTTATTGTGATATATTGCAGTACTATACACACAACAATATATTGAGTTTTTTTCCCCAATATTTCATCAATATTTTCTTACTGCTGTTACATTTGTTCAGATGCATCAGTGGTGGTTGGCCCTCGGCTGTTTTTACATCAACACATACCTGCAGTAAAAGCTGAAAGTCTCTGTGCTGCACAGACCAAGTCCAGCACCTTTCCCCAAAGACAACTTCAACTCCACCTTCCTGTGAAAGTTGTGGGAGTGAGAAAGAAGAGGTGGAGAAACAGAAATGAAGTCAGGATTACAACCAAGTCATTCAGGCCAGAGTCAGAACAACAAGATCCTTCATGGTTAAAAGTAGAAGGAAAAACAAGGTGAAGTGACCACAGGGAGGTCGGATCGTAGAGAGACGGACGTAGACTGAAGGTGGCAGCTGTTCCAGTGTGGAGGGTTTGGCCTTGAAGAAGAAGAGAGACAAACATGGTCCATAGTAAAATAAACTCTTACACCACGTACTATCAAAAATCATCATCATCATCATCATCATTTGATCTTCATTGATTCCACACTAAGGAAGTTCTAGTGTAAACAGCAGTTCTGCCCCCCCACTCCTCCACCCCACAGGTATGTGGTTCCTCTGAGAATCAACCCACTACTACCTGCTCTCTGTTTCAGAAGCGGACGAGCTAACCGCTAGACTACAGTGACATTAGCATGTCGCTAATATTCAACTCTCAGTGACAGGTTTCTAGCAGATAATCAGTAACCCACTGAAATAGTTTCATTTCTTGGATTGAATTTAGAACAGAATATAAAGGGCAGGGAAGTCAAGACTCTGTACAGGATACTGTAGTAGTACTGTACTGAAAAACACAAAAACACAACACACCACTGACCACAGGAGTTCCAGTTCAGCTGTAGTGGAAAATATACAAAAAAGATTCAATAAAAGATGCTAAGGAAAAGAATCCTGAAAAATCCTTCAAAAAAGATTCAATAAAAGATGCTAAGATTCAAAAAAAAGATGCCACCCACACAGAGAAGACAACTTTTCTCCCCTAACTTTTGACAGCTGTTACCAAAACAGGACGAAGAACACTTTCCTCCTCCTGCTCATCTTCACTTTCTCCATTTGAGATGAGAGGATGGCAGACTTACTCCTGATTCTTTTGATTGAGGTCTTCACTGTCACCTAAAACAACTATGAGTGTAAGAAGATATCAATATCCTCCATCAGTGTACTGATGGTTTATGATGACTCTTAGACTACTGTTACACTGGTGAAAATAACTCAATATATGTTGTTGTGACTATAGTGTTGCAGTATATCACAATATAGTCTCAGTGCTTCTGTTTCCTGACACATATCATATCGTTTCACCAGATTGTTGCCGGTACAAAGCCTTAAAAACAACTGAGAAAAGATTTTTAACATTACTATCTAATGTGGAGCTGAAACACCTCAGAGGAAAAGAAAAGACAGAAACCACAGCGGCGTGGTGATGGTTGAAGAATTATTGATATGTGATGACCCGTCTGACCTTTACCCTCCTGCTGACCTTCTGCAGGATGTTTTGGACATTTCTCTAAACATATTGGTTTGAAAAAGTGCCACATCCACAGTTAAAGTCACATCTGGCTCACGTTTCTACTCCGGGACTTATTTGTGGCACCAGAACGTCATATTTCCTGCAGCGGAAAACTACATCACACAGGTAGTAATTACGTTTCCCACAAAATATATAGCATTTAACACAGCAGTGTGTGTGTAAATATCTTTGGAGGAAACAGGTTTGCATCATAAATCCAAACATTTCTACCCCACGGTTCCACACAGTGGCCACACACTGGAACAGATTTAAGATGGTGTAAATGAGCAGGTTCATATTCAGGCCAGCGCTCAGATCAGTTTACATGTCAGTCATCATCTTTCTGTGGCCACCGCTGTAAAAACCTCTAAATATTTTATTCTCTCTCCACAGAGTTTTATAAAAAACTGCTGAGGTTTGGCCTGGAGAGACAGCAAGACAGTCTGATTAGAACCTCACACCTTTAACGCCCCACAGGAGGAGTCCTTACAAGTGCCTGACTATAACCCAGGGTCCCCCCACATCATGTTACGACGGCCCAGCAGTCACCCTCATTATCCAGCAGTCCTGCCACACACACTGTCAGACAGAGGGAGGCAGTGCCACCAGCATCACTGCCAAGATGTGTTTACAGCTGCTGTCACAGCCTGACGACACACTGAAGAGGAAAACCATGTGAAATGATCTGCAGTAAGTGATATGTCATGGAGTACTTTTTAACAACTTACTTTTCACTGACTGTGGCAGCTATAGAATCAGGGACGACTCTGAGGCCACCAGCAGGTCTGCTGTTGTACTGCAGTTTTATAGACCACCCATACTTCTGACACTTAACCATGATGACAGTTTGACTACAATTACATTGTTGAAAAAAACCCCTCAATATATCGTCGTGTCTATACTATCACAGTATATCACAGTATATCACAGTATATCACAGTCTATCACAGTATATCGGATCGTTGCCCCTGTATGGTGATACATATCAACAGACTGTTGTGAATACACAGCCCCAGTAAGAACTAAATAAATGTCTTCTGTCTCTTCACCAACTCTTTAATAAACACCTGACCGTGGTACATCCAGGGGGAGACACGTCCTTCTTCTACATTTCTCCGAAAGCTGCCAGATTCTGGATCTGGTCTGTGACAGACTTCATCTGAAGCTGATGGATGTTCAGACTGGTTTGTTTTTATAACTCTGATGAAGATGTCATGTGTAGAGCCAGTTTATGAAGCCAGGTTGGTGGACTTCTCTCAGCCATGTTCCCAGGTCTTGGTGGACCACTGGTGGACTCCTACAGACAGATGCTGGGACGGACAAGGACGCTGACCTCTTCTGAAGCTTCCAGATGTTGCACTGACTAATTGGTGGGCAAACCACTGGACCAGTCTGAAGACCGACAGATGTTCAGACAGGTCTTTGTCTGATCTTCTGTGGAACTACAGCCAGTTCCTAGACTTCTCTGAGGTCAACAGATGATCTCAACTTCTAACTTCTACTACAGATATAATATTACGAGCCATATTTTGCTGGACCAAGTAGAGAAGTAAAAAGTTTTTCTCCTGGTACAGAATCCTCACTCAGTTTTTATATTTCTGTCTAAGTGACAATAAATACATTGGCATTTCCCCCTGAAGAAGCACTGAAGGCATGAGATCATTGTTGAAACATCAAATCTCTGAGTCTGTCTCACCAAGACACGGAGCAGAACAACAGCTCAGTGTTTGGCACTCGTCTCCACAGCGGTCCTAATTAGTGTCTGGGTCTCCTGTAGACCAGAAGGTGTGGAACAGACGCAGCGGGCCAGTAGTGATGACAGCCACCTGCTTCAGGCTTCAGCTCAGTCATCTGTTTAAAAACAGCTTCATATCAAAGCACCACACCGTCTCACGTCTCCATTCATGCACCAGCTCTGGCGTCTGCGTGCTTCAGGTTTTAATTATCTCCTGTGAGAGTGAAGCAGTCGTGCTTTCGGCTCATTAGGTCTGTCAGCGGGGACGAGCTGTAACCTGCAATAACCTCCGCCGTCTCCTCTCGCCTGACACTTACGCCACCTATCTGCCCTCACACTCATCAATTTCTTTTTTATTTTTATACAGTTTATTACAGCAGAGGTCTTCTCCAGGGGTCTGTGAGCCCTAAGGGCCCCAGGCCCCAGGAGGGTACAAGAGGATCCATTTTTTTGATACAATTTAGCACAGTGCTCAAAAGGTTATGTCCAGGCTAAAGAAACACAGATGTTGTTCTGATCCGTTGAACTCTTTGTGTTTAATGTGTCTGTTAAAGGTCAATAATGGAGTGACTTCAACTTTGTTGTGCAGTTAGTTAAAAATGGCACTAATGTTAGCACACTTTCACTAAAGCTCAAACAATCTTGGAGTATTTCAAACCAATCATTTCTGTCCTCTGTACTTCAGAGTACCCAGCAGCAGCAGTGTCAACATATATGGAAAGATATCAGCAGTGTTTCTATTGGTCGGTTAAATGCCCCGGTCTAATCCTGGACTATCAAACGTCTTTATCATGTTTGATGATTCGTTTTGAGGACAGCATTTTTCTACCATCAACATCTCATTTAACATCTGCTGCGTGAGCTTGTTAGGACGGAGGTTCTGGTTTCACAACATCTTTTTCTGCTGCTCAAAATCCTTTAATCCTCTCATCTTCTGTGTCTCATCGTAAAAAAATACCAGTTATTTTCAGGATTTGACAAACGCAAGAGTCAAACTCCGGTCATCAGTTCCACAACAGCGGGGAACCGGGGGAGCCGCGAGAGTGAATCTGATCTGCTGTGTTTCATTTCATCTCCTCACACATGCACACACACACACATACACACAGAGAATATTCCGACACCAAGGAAGAGAAAAAAGCCTCTGTGGATGCTGTGAATGCTGGGTTCATGTAGAGGCCACTGAGGTAACGAGAGGAGAGAGAGAGGCAGGGTGTGTTCACAGAATGCTCTCTCTACCCTCCCACCCCCCACCCCGTGTTTCCTCCCCATCCACCGTGCTCTGAAGTCTGGGTGAAGTCCAACACAGACAGACAGCAGCAGCAATTACCAGCCAATGATTGGTACCTGTTGTTGTCGATGATTCACCATAAAAATACCATTTCTCAGGTTATTAAATAGGCCTGTAGCCGCCTGGAGGAGCGCTTTATTGTTGAAGCAGCTGCAGTTAGTCGATGAGCAGCGCCTGCAGCCCCCACTCCATCATTTAATTACTCCTCTGTCAATCAATGGAAAACACATTTTTAGGAAAGCCGATCGATGTACTGTAGAGGGGCGACGGAGCTGACAAAAGGGATTGTTACTTGACTGAGTGACACACACACACACACACACACACACAGAGCTACAGGAAATCAGATTGTATTGATCATAATACAGCTGAATGTGTCTCTGCAGGTTTAGAATCCTGAGACCTGAATAAAGACGTCCAGGATCAGTGACGGACCGACTGTCTCACCCTGTCTCACCCTGTCTCACCCTGTCTAATGAGTTTCACGGAGGTAAAAATGGGATTTGGAGCAGCAGCACCTTAGCTGAGCTGGGTTTAGGTCAGACAAACGTGGACTGTTCATCCGCTGACAGAACAACAACAGCAACAACGGAAACAACAGAAACAACAGAAACAACAAACATCAAGAGGCAACAGGTTTGATCTGCAGCAAAGAAGGAGGAAATACAACTGCTGTGAATAAATAATGAGCAGGGACAGGGGGGGAAATCTTCAATTTGGAATTTTACTCATAGCGTCCAAAAAACAGAAATAAGATACCAGTTAAAAACAGTCTGATAAATTCCAATAAATTAATGTTTTCTTCATTTTCTGTACAAATATTTATGAAGAATTCTGTTTTT